CCTCACAAAGGAGGAACATCGCTCGCTTCCAACACTGGTCCACCTCCGGACGACCTCTCCGATTAGAAGGCTTGGCCAAACACCGCTTTCCGACTCCGACCCGTGTCTCCGACCGGGAATGCGCCGAACCCCTGTTTACAGCTCTTCTTCAACTGGCGCAATCAGAGCCGACTGGAACCAACGGACCGGAGATGTCCGCTTGGTGAGGACCAGGGAACGGACGGAAAAAGTAAAGGAGGGCACCCAAGTCAACCGCATTACCGAGAAATGTACCCTATACACGTGCAAAACAGTACCAACAGGGCATGTCAGAAGGATACCCTGCAACCTTCCTGACATATCAAAGCCCAAGCAGTGTTGTGGACGTCGACATTTGCTCTACAGTGTTGTAGGCACCATCAACTCACATACCAGACAAACACGGTAAGGCACCCCACATGCCTCTGGACATTAACAGTGTTGTGAGCGCCGGTATTTACCTTACCAAGCGAACACAGTAAAACCCCACACATGCCTCTGGACAGCAACAGTATAGCAGGCACCGATATCTGCTATGCCGAAAGAAGACGACGCAACCTCCCACATGCATCTGACATTAACAGTATTTTAGACGTCTACCATCATCTTGTACCTGCCGGCGTGGGCAAAGACTTAGTAGCATACGTATTCTCTCCCTCTCACTTGTAAGGCCACCCCTTTATCTATAAAAAGGAATGCGCTCTCTCCCAATAGATAGTTACTCAGTTCACTTAGATCGGTTCAGTACACAATAACAAAACCATCAGGTTCAAACCTCGAGCACACGCTCGAACACTTAGCACATAGCAAAGCCCCCGTTACTATCGGCCCTTCAGACCGGACTTCGACAAGACCTCTTGTATCTCCATCTTTCTCATTCTCGTTTCTAACCCCACTACAAACTTCGAGCACCTAGGCTCAGAAATAAAGTCACCGACCGATTCAAACTGGACGTAAGGCACGTTGCCTGAACCAGTATAAATTCTTTGTCATTGAGTGCTAGACCATATCCGATCACAACGTACGACAAAACTACAAATATTTACGTGTTGGATACTTTCTGCACCGAGAGAAAACTTATCATAACATGCAAGAACACTTCTACTTACTAAACACACTTTTCCTAGTCATCACGAAAAACAAGTTGTGTAGACAAACGTATATTAACCATAATCTAAACACCTAACATATATAAAAAGCTTTAATAATTATAACCAAGAAATAAAAAGGTGACGCACCAAACATCTCTTTCGGACATGAAAAATTTATGAGTGATACATCTTGACTTAACATAACTACTGCATAAATTTTATAATTTTAGGATAAGCAAATTATTTACTAGCAGTTAATTAAGATTTAAAAGCAATAAAGATATGTGACACATGATAAATCAATAACTTAGTGAATAAACATCCATTGAATATGATTTTTTTTCCACCGCACAAGCATGTAACAAGTAACCTACCATAAAAATTTCACAGCAATTAGATTCATATAACAACAAATATAAATTTAACATTAAAAAACATAGGTAATTATATATTGCAAAACTTTTGTACTAAAACATGTCATATTATGCATCTACTGCATAGATCTAGTTACGTGGAGTGTAACAAAACTGGTTTGACATTTTTATAATTTTTCTAGGATTTACTTTGAATTATCAAAATTTTAGCCAGATAAAACATAAAAGAAAAGAAAAAACCATAAAAGACAAACACTTTGCACCGAGGCCCCTAAACTTTTCCCTAAATCAATCCTCAGTACATCCCACACTATTCACATAAGTCAAGTGTTTCACATCTGAACCCAAGAAAGAGTTTCTATTTACAGTTTGGCCCTCCTCCTTCCTCACGTGCACAGAGCAGAGGATCCAACGGAGGAGCCTGACTTTGGCGGAGCGGCCGCCGGGGACGGCACGGGCGAGGCCTCGAGGGCCCATAGGCGGACATCCGCACCGCCTCTGGCCAGGGCCCGGCCAGCAACGACCGGCAGCGGCCCGGCCGCGGCAGGCAGCACGGCCGGAAGGGGCGGCGCTGCGGTCGGCGGCTGACAGCAGCGGCGCTAAGGGGCGCGGCGGCCGGAAAGGGCGCTACAGGCGCGGTCCGAAGCGGAGGGTGCGGTGGCGAGGTCGGCTCGGCCCGCAACCGAGCGCAGCAGCGGAAACGGCAGCGACGCCGCGAGCTCTGCCCGTCCGGCCATGGTGACGGCGAGCGCGCGAGAAGAGAGGGAGAGCGCAGAGGGGCGAGGGCGAAGGGGCCAGCAGCAGCGCGGCACCCTCCTTAAGCGCGCGGCAGAGCAGGGCAGCGCGGGCAGCAGCGGCAGGAGCTCGAGCTGGAGCTTGGCGCGGCGGTGCGCGCTCTGCAGCGGAAAGAAAGGGAGCGAGAACGAGCGCGACACCCTTATAGGCGCGGGCGAGGGGAGAGAAGCGGCACGCGGAGCAGGTCGCGGTCAGCGGCAGCGCGGCATGGGCAGGGGCGTGCGCGCGGCAGGGAGTGGGCGGCCATGGGCGCGCCCTGTGCACGACGTGGGCAGGCAGAGCACCGGGGGCAGGGCATGGGCGGGGGCAGAGCCATGTGCCTCACTTTGGCGCACCGTGCTGAGACTTCGGTCAAGATTTGGGTCCCACTCACTGTACAAAAGATCTTCAAGTGCAAACTCCAACTCTTATTAAGGGACCATGATCACTAACGCAACAGATTAAGAGATAAACATGCTCAAACTTTGGTTTGTCAGACCGATTCCAAAAACTTTGAAATTTTCTACCAGAAACTTTGAAATTTTCTAAGTCCCCCGAAAAATGAGTTTGATTCAAACTTTGGAGCTTTAACTAATCTGTCAAACATCCAAACTAGGAACAAGCAAGCACTCCACCACAAAGTTCATAACTTATACTAAGTTTTTCATACCAACACATTTTAAAGTTTCTATATAAAATAATTATTTATTTATCCTCCAAAAAGCTATTGAGGAATTAAAATAAGGTAATGTTTTTGGCATTTTTAATCATTTTCTTCACATTTTTCCGACATGAACCCTAATATAACTTTTGTTCGCAAACTCATTTAGAGATGTTTAATCACAACAGCAAGGTTGATTGACATCACACATATTGATTTTATTCACAAAAGTGATTTAAACAAATAGGTACTTATCATTTCATGCAAAGCGCTTAATCAACGCTATTCATGCACATTTTTATTACTGACAAAACATTTGTCTTTCCCTAAAAAGATTTAAATTTGCTATAATTTAAAAGAACTTTTACTCCACATTTTTAGTATTACAAACAAAACATCGTTACAGAGCACATGAAACTTACTAATCAAGTTTTATTATCTTTAACCTATTGCTAATCAGGTATTTAACACTAGGGGTGTTAGCGTGACCACAGGTGCCGAATTTGATGATGGCAGAACGACAACGTCTGTTGTCGGATGATGAACAGTAGGCGTAGATCCAGCCGAAGAAGAGACTGGCAATGCTTGACGAAAGGGAAATTGATGCTCATCAAACGTGACATGTCTAGAGGTAATTACTCGCCGAGTAGGAAGATCAAAACATCGATACCCACGATGATCGGATGGATAACCAAGAAGAACACAAGCAGACGAGCGCGCACAGTTTATGGGCGGTGGTAGCTGTCTGATTGGGGAAGCAAAGACAACCAAACACCCTGAGATGATTGTAACTAGGAGGTGCACCGAGAAGAAGTTAGTATGGGGTAATGTTGCCACTAGCATGGCTCGGTCATCTGTTGATCAGATGTGTAGCAGTAGAGAGGTTGGCGGCATCCCGGCGTGGAGAAGCAGACTGCGAATACAGTCATTCAGAGTCCGCAAAATGCGTTCACCTTTCCCATTCTGAGGAGATGTGTAAGGGCAAGATAGCCGGAGGGCGACGCCATGAGCAAGAAGATGAGCACGCAATGCATGATTATCGAATTCCTTCCCATTGTCAGATTGGAAAGAAATAAGTGGTAACTGAAACTTTGTTTGAACATAGGCATGGAAAGACAATAAACAGGCTAACACACCAGACTTGCAACACAAGGGCAATGTCGAGACATAGTGGGTAAGATCATTAATCAAAACAAGATAGTATTTAAAGCCAGAACAACTAGTTACAGGGGATGTCCAAACATCGGCATGGATGATTTGGAACGGTACATAACTGACAGACTCTGAAGAAGAAAAGGGAAGACGAACATGTTTACTGAACTGACAAGTTTGACATGAATGAGAAGATGATTTAGAACAGGTAAACTCCAACTGGGGAAGGGTATGACGAAGAACTTGACGCCCGGGATGTCCAAGCCGCAAGTGCCACAGATCAACCGAGGGCAACACCGCAGCAACAAGCGCCGATTGAGGAGAAGACGCCATGGGGTACAAATCACCAGCGCTATTACACCAGAGGAGCACCGTTTGGGTCGGGATATCCTTGATGGAAAAACCAAAAGGGTCAAACTCAACAGTAACATTGTTGTCTCGAGTGAGAGAACGAACAGAGATCAAATTCTTCACTAATGACGGGGAAACAAGGATATTGTTCAGTTGAAGAGGGGACTGAACTGTAGGTAAAGAATTAGAGGCATGATGAGTGACAGGAAGCAAAGCACCGTTGCCGACAGTGATGGAAGGAGAATTGGAGAGGGGTTGGGAGGAAGTGAAATAACCAGCATTGAAAGCCATATGCGAGGTAGCCCCAGTGTCTAGGAACCACTCCGTTGCCTGTGGTCCGGTGGGTGGAACACCGGAGGTGGCCAGCGCCGCAAGCAACGCCTGATGGTTCCAGACATCCGATGGTGGAGGCTGAGGCTGAGGAACACCAGGAGCAGGGATCGATGGTGCACCAGCAAAGGACGCCTGCTGTTGTGGTTGATCGGGACGAGGGCTGAGCACCCCGGCGCCGGGAACACGGAAGGGCATGGGCCACACCTGGACCATCCCTGTCCACGGGTTGACGCCGGGCGCCCAGCCTTAGGGAGCTCGAGGCTGCGGAGTAGAGGTGGAGCCGCCTTGGTGCTGATAACTGCCGCGGCCATGCCCACGCCCGCGACCACGTCTGCCATCTGAACGAGGAGCCGAGCCGTGGGCAACCGTCGGCGGTCGTGGGGGAGGTTGGCCGCCTTGACCAGCGCCGGAACCACCTTCACCGGCAGCCGGAGCGGTCGGCCGAGAACCACCAGTGGCGAAAAGAGCATGTTGTGCGGTGGACTTAGCGTGCTCCTTGTCGTACTGTTCCTCCAGGAGCAAGTAGGAGCGGGCGGAGAGGAAAGTATGCGGCGGGTTCTTGGCGGTGATCACCGGGACGGCGTGCCGGTACTTGGGGGTGAGACCACGGAGCATGTTGAGGACCTGGGACGTCTCATGGATGGGCTGCCCGACGTCGTGCAAGTCATCGACGAGCTGCTTCAGCCGGCCGGTGTAGGTCTTGATGTCCATGTCGCCTTGGAACAGGCTCCTGAACTCAGCCTCTAGGTAAACGGCTCGGTGAAGCTCGTGATCCCAGAACTGATCATGGATCGCATTCCAGATGGTGTACTCCGTGGCCTTGGGGGCGCGAACGATGGCGCGAACGTCCTTGGAGATGGTGTTGTAGAACCAGCTGAGGATGCACTGGTCTACCATGGTCCACTCGCGATCGCGGCGGTTGGCGGCGGTAGGAGGAGAGGTGAGATGAGAGCTGATGCCGAATTTGCCGATGGAGGCATCGAAAAAGCACCGCCTCTCGGTGTAATTGGATTCGGCGATGTCGAGCTCGACGGGGATGTAGGACTTGATGTTGACGGTTTGCAGTACGGTGGCCAGGAGCGGTGTAGGATTCGGCATCAAGGGAGGAGGAGGAAGCGGACTCGACGTCAGATACGTCGGCGTCAAAAAGCGGGTTGGAGTCCATAGCAGCGGATCGCGGCGAGACGAGGAAGCAGCGGAGAAAAGGGGGGCGGCCGCGGCGAGCACCGGCGCGCGCGACGCGGCGAGGGGCACGGAGTGCGCGGCGGTGCAGGAAGAGCCGAGCGGCGAGGAGCAGCGGTTGTGAGAAAGCAGGGAAATCAACCTGCGCAAGCTGATAGCATGTAGAAGAAAGGAAGCCAACAACCATTCGTGTTGATCTCTGTAGAGTACATATACAGTACAAGGTGGGCGCTCTGGGCGCGCACCAGTGCGAAACGTGGGTGACGGAGTGGCCAGCCGCACGTCCGGGCGTAAACTAACTACCATAAACTAAGCCGTCTAATACACTGCTTCAATATTAATAGCCTCGTAAAAAAGTGGTGAGCCATGCAGTAACCGAAAGATTGAAACCAACAAGTAGCCAACGCAGGATACATCTGACATGTGACAAACGATTCCTGACCAAAGGTAACCAGGGAGGGATAGATAGGCATCAGAAAACTGAAAAAGCGTGCGCCGAGCTCCGGTTACAGACTGTTCACTTCGTTGAAAAGATAAGTTGAACTAATTTGTTGGGATATTTGTTGGGACAGAAAAACATTATTTTTTTTACTGAAAAGGTATGATTTATAAAAACAGCTTGACAATTTGTCAGACGAGGCACCGGCTCCTGGTTTCTTTGACAAGCTGTGAGACCACGTCGTCACTGTTCGTTTCGGCTTATTTACTCGTATCTGGCTTATAATCCATGGCTTCAACAGTATTTTTCTCTCACACTAAACCAGCCAGTAGTACTTTCAGCCATGAATTATAAGCCGATTCAGCCGAAACGGACAGGCTGACCATCGTGTCGCTTTTTGTGTCCACATGGCTTTCCCTAGCTGTCTTCGTGAGACCATTGTACAACGTGGAGCGTTGGGCTGCTCTTAGTGACGACCGAGTTGAATGAATAGATCTGTTGTGAACCGCCTATACTAGTCAAAAGATTTTCATTAGATTTTTGGAGTGTTGAGAAACAATTGTTCTGTTCACTTAGCTTATAAGTCGTATTTTTTCAGCTAACGAACAGTATTTTTCTCTCACAACAAATCAGCCAATAGTATTTTTAGTCATGGCTTATCAGCCAAGCGAACATGACAAATAACCCTAAGATAATTATGAGCTCATACCAAATATTCCCCGAAGGGTTAAGACTATATAAATGAACCTATACCCATCTATAATGAAGAAAAGATAAGAGTTCCTCGATATTTGCTCTCATGTGTGTTCATCTTGTGTGCTGTTGGGAAGAAATATAGGAAATCATCTACAACTTCCTCACATCTCATCTGCTGCAGGGAGGTAAGCGCTGTTACTTAGCAGGTAGTACTGGTGCATGGTGGACGGCCCAAGAGTGGGAGAGACGCTGACGGTGCCTGCCAGAGCCCAGAGAGGCGAACCGTTGCTGGGCTCGTTGTCCCTCCTGCATACGAAATTGACAACGGCGGTCCAGGCACACTAGGCTCACTTTCCAGTTGGGCCATTTTGACGAACCAAACAGTAGTTGTTTCTTCTTTCGAGTAAATAAAAAACCAAAGGTTGATGGGCCCAACTCGTTACACCGAGCTAAACACGCGCATCTCCACTCAGAGTTCCGAATTAAGATCGAACTGTGAAACTATCGGTTTGCAACAAAACAGTCCCACTTCATGTTCGAAATTCCGGATCGAAAAACAACAAACTTATGAGGTACTTATTAGTCCTCGTGAAAGAACACGGATAGTGTCATCTGTCATGAATCTAGCTCAACTCTACCCGTCTTTCGACCATCAGTGACATATCCGTCGTTCCCAAATCAAGTTGCTTCTGACTTCGAGCTACCGACAGACTGCATGTTTTCTCAGTTAATTAAGTTTTTTACTCCGACGCATGGAACAGTGACCGCTCATAGAAGTAACAGGATAAGTTAGTGTGGCTGGCTGGCTGCGACGAGCAAGGTGGGGCTGGAACCATGTTCGCCACCACTAGGCTCCGCCACTGGATGGCAGCCCGGCGCTACTTCATTCCGAAGGCCGTAACTCTTCCATACAGACTGCAATTGAGGCATCCCCTCACCCTCCGTCTCGCGCGGGCTGCATCAGCCGCAACTGCTCCCCTGGCTCGCGCCCGCGGCGGCGTGGCTGGGGGCTCGCCCGCCGCCCAGCCCACCTCCCCCCGGCTAGCTGGTGGTGGCCTTGTTCTCTGGCGTTCGGGGCGGCGTCGGGTGCTGGACCTCGGGGCCCCGCGCCGTCTGGTAGGAGGAGCTTTGGGGAGACGGGCGGAAGGCGCTCACGTAGAGAAGCTGCTGGTGCCGGTCGGTGCGCTGGACTGTTCGAAGGGGCAGGAGGCTCCAAATCTCCGGCGAGTCTGACATAGGCGTCAGGAAGGTGCGTGCTCTGTCTTCGCAGGGAGCAGCACAAGCGAGAATTTGGACGGCGCGGTGAAGGCAGGCCACCGGGACTGACGCTCGGTTCCTGTTCGACGAATTGCGGCTGCAGGAGAGCTTGGTTCCCAGGTACGTCTGCCTGTGGCATAAGTTCTAAACTGTGAAGCAGCGTGAGGTTGAAGAAGCTTGGGGAAGATTGGCCGCCTGTTGGTACACTGCTTAGAAGCTAAGCCTGCTAAGTTTTGTACGTTAATGGCGAAGCAAATAGGGTCCAAGCATAGCCTAGTGGTGACAGGGAGCCTTAAGAGGCGACACTTTGCACCCTATCTTATGACCTCAGAGCCGTTAGTCGGAGCTGAAAGACCATGGAGGGAGCCTAAAGTTTGAAGCACACATTTTGTGGAAAATAGTGCAACTTTTGTTTTAACAAGATAATAACGCTAGCTAACATTTCTAATAGCTTGGAAATCGAATTTGAAGCAAATCCAACTCAAGACTTAATCAATTTCTAAAGTCTGAAAACAGATTAACAAAGCTATGTTTGGTAATTTATTCGGTAAAAATTGAGTTTAGGAGTGGTGTCGTTCTTTAGCTCTTGTTGATAGCCTAAGGTGCTCTCTTTAGAGTAGTGAATGTGGTTTGGGGATTGGATCAACTGTGTAGTTGTTTCAAACGCTTTAAAATCCGTGCACAGCGCGTTCTCGGGCTGTTTTTCTCGGCCGGACGTGATCACCATGCCGAGCGGCCTCGACGTCGTGGCGCTTTCGGTGCGCTTGTATAGCGCTGCGGGTACACATCACTAGCCGCCTCGAATTTGCCGCCGACGGAGCCGTGGTCGCCCGACCTCCGCCACGTTGCGCCGCTTCGCCGCCGTTGCCGTTGTCGTTGCATGTTGTTCGCGCCGCCTCGCGTGGCGCCACGACAACGCCATCGCCGCCGCTGTCGTCGATCATTCTTCGCGCTTGCTTACGCACCATCGCCCGCTCGACGATTTTGCGACGAGGTCGGAACCGCCGTCGCCATGCCATTTATGGCACTGCGGCGCGCGGGCCATGCCGACCTCGAGCGTGTGTCGTCGGCTAGTGCCGGCCGTGGTCGCTCCGGTCGCGTCAACCGCGTCCCGCCAAGCAAGCACAAAGCCGAGCCTTGATGCGGCCCCACCATCTCCCGCCCCTCCTCGCCCCTTCTTTCTTTGCCGCGCGCCGAAATTGCGCCACCTACCGCATGCGTAGAAACCATCCCCATCAATTCCACGTGTTTCGCGCGCGCGCTCACGCCCTCTCGTTGCCCGCCCCACCTAGACTTGAGCAGGTGCAAGGTCAAGCTCCAATTTGAGCTTCGCCCCGCCACCGCGACCGTTAAGACCCGTCCACCGCCCTCACCGTGGCGGCCCCTCAACGTCTCGAGCGAATTATTCGCACCACGAGCCCCGCCTAGAACCCTCCTCGTCAAATGCGCACCTAAGCCGCACCTCTACCGCTGCCTCCTCGCCACCGGCACACAGCCAGGTAGTGCGTTGTGTGGTTCGCCGTCGAGTTCGCCCGCGTGCACTTGATCGAGCTCGCCGGGGCATCTTCGGTCGAACCATCACCTCCGCTAGGTCAGTGGTGAGTCCCTATTGCTCACCCACTATCCCTATTGCCTTGTTAATATTGTGGCTCACCGAACGCCATCGCCATTGCCGCAGGGTCCCGGCCATCGTGGAGAGGCCCTTCTACCGCGTCTCAGTTCGTGCAGCCATCACCCATCGCTTCGCGTCAAACCCTAGGTGAGCGTCGGCCTCGTAGATAGGTCAGCATGGGTCCCGTGTGGTCGGCACAAGCGCCAGTGCCACCGCTCGCCGCGCCGCCGCGCACGGGGATGGTCGAGGACCATAATCGTTGTAAAGGAGGGAGAGTGCGACGGTGTTCTTACAAAGTTATTGTCTATGGGAATAGTGCGAATAGCATCGTGCGAATACTAGGTAGTGTAGGGGCGTCTCTGCAAAAGCGCCAGCGCGCGTAAGTGGGCCGAGTCCACGTGGTTGTGGGTCGCGCTGGTGAATTCGTTTTTCCTTTTCTTAAGGAATTAGAAATAGCTTTATGTTTTAATTTCTGAGCTAAACTTTGAAAATTAATATCAATTCGTATAGGTGTCCAAAAATTGTGAAATAAATTTTGTTGAGTTTCTAAAAATGTTGTCTATCTAATGGTATGACTAGATTATGCAGGTTTGAGTTGATGCTAAGGCTTATTAAATCATTTGAGAGCGCTTAATATTATTAGGTTAAATATTTTAGGAATTTTTGTGGTAAATTGGTGATAGCTTTAATCCTAAAATTTTTATGGTTGCTTCATTGTATTATTATGTGCTCACTGTAATTTTGTATCTTTAGAATAGACTAATCATTAGGGTAGTTAAATGCTCTTTGTTTCAAATATACATTAAATCATTAGTAGAAATAAATATATATATCCTTCATTTGTAAAGCTAGGTGTTTGTTAGTTGAACCCAACACTTTGCTTGGTAAAGATGATAGTTAGCTTAGTGCCTTAATCATTAGAGCAAGCTTAGTAGCTTAGTGTGTGTATTCTTATTTTAAGAGTTGTTGTTACATAAATTCTAAGTGTTGCATCATCGTCGCATGTATGTAGAGAACGAATTGGCGGAGATCGTGACCATCGGCGACCACGAGTTGGAGGAAATCGTCAAGGAGTACGAGGAGGAGATCCTCGTGCATGAGGAGGTCCCGGAGCCGCCACTGACTAACTTAGTTGACACCGCGTCTGCCCAAGGCAAGCCCGGTGCATAACCTTTATTTTGAATAATCACTGGATATATATATATATGTGTGTGTGTGATGTGCATTTACGTTATAGGCTTATTGTTAAAACTACATGCATAAATATACCTACCTATGAGTCCTACTAGCTTAGGTCGAGTAGCTGCTATACTTAGGTTTTTCGGTAGCGTGAGTAACCTGCCGTTACTCATAGTAGGTAATTATTATTACTGCTCTCATAATAAAATGGTCAAAGGAAAATGAAGACCGGGCAGGGATATGGTACGGGTATTGGTGGGTGTAATAGGTTGTGTCGCGTGGCCAACGAGGCATATCTTGGTTACACTATTTTCCCTGTTCATGTCGGTTAAGGACCGTCCGTTGTTATGGATGGTAGTCAGGTCACAGACTTATTATCATGAGCACATACTTGTTTATGGGAGCGGAAAGGCTCGTTGCTCTCTTATCGTGGGTTTCGGCTCTTTCCGGACCGACTGATTGGGGGCGGGGATGGTGGAGGTCTAAGCACGACACTGAGTTCGAGACTTAGGTGTGGGGGCTTGGAGTCCAAGTTTGGACGGGGACCTAGACCCCTTGATAGGAGAGTGGTGGGTTGGTCTTATTTGTGTCTAGGGTACAAGCGGGGCGTGTGTTTCGAGGTATCCAGCTGGGATACATTCCTACAACACGCTTGACCTTCTGTGACAATCAGCTATTATCGTTGAACACTAAATTTACGTTAAGTTACAGATTTGGTGACGTGAGCGCGACGAATTCCCATATATCGCCTATCTGACGTGTTTAAACACCTTTGGTGACGAACACAAGTTTTTTTTGTTGCTAAACTTTCGACAATACTGCTTTGTCACTAAATTTGCGACAATGGCTATTGTCATTGTTTTAGGAAGAATTGTCGCTAACTATTTAGTGCCATGATGCCACGTGGCAAGATCAATATAAGCAAATACATAATATAATGTAGGTCACAAATTTATCATATCATTGAACAGTTAATTAATTAAAGTTCAAACTCACCAACCAAAGTTACAGTAGCAGGTCATACAATACATGTTTCAATGATCATATCCACTGACAACAACAGCAAACCACAATACTAGTTTTGTTCACAGGCCACAATACATTTCATAGACCATATGATGCACTGACCAAAATTATAGCAGCCACAAGTTTCAAAGTTTAAAGGCTGCACAATACTTCTGAGAGGTCGCAAAATAATGAAACCAGCAGCATGGTTCAAAAGTTAGAGCTACTAAGACTAGGGGCAAACAACCAGCAACCAAACCAAGTTCAACCATCCCTAAGCATTTGACGAAGGAAGGACATGGTTTCTTGTGATGCCTTTTTTATTTTTTTCGATCTCCTCAGCCTGTTTTGCCCTTGCCATTTCTGACTCTTTCTTTAAAGTCTCCATTGCCATTTCTGATTCTTTCTTCATGGCTTCGAACTCATGCCTAAGGTCTTCTTTTGATTTTTTTTTTCAATTTCAAGATCAGCCCGAAGCTGTTGCACCTGTGCATAAACACCATAAATATGTCGGTGGCTTTACTATGAAATAAATCATCTATTATTCTCTTAGAATCAATAACCACTCAAGGCATCAAGGCAAAATATTCGTTTACTGGACATTATTATGTGCAAACTGAATAGCTAAGTATAAGTAGGTTCAAATTGAGTTTACTGCTTTCATGTGCAGGACAGCTAGGGACAAGTTGATTTAAATTGAATAACTAGGTATTTATTCCTAAGTCAAATGCAAATGCCCAACTAAGGGACAACAATTCATGTGCAAGAGTAGGACAGCTAGGTACTAGTAGAATTAAACTAAACAACTAGGTGTTTATTCCTAAATCACAACTAGGTATATATCTTGATGAGGCACAAATCTGGTCTATGTCTTGATGAAGCACAAATCTATAAAGAAAATAACTTCAGAGCATGCATGGTAGGGACTTGATGCACTTGTACCTTTGAGGAAGTGTAACCTTTAGAGCTATTGTTGGAGTTTGGTTGAATTCCTGCAACTTGAAGAAATGTAGTTGATTTCACAACTTGAGAAACAGCATGGTTCACTGACTTTGGTTGCTCTTCATCTTGTACTGGTTCAGCCATGATCGCTTCCATATCAACCTAGCAAAAAATTACAATAGAGACTTAAATCTTGTGTGCAGTTTATTTTTTTTCAGATGTACGTCATGTAGCAAATAAAAAACAATCTGTAACATGTACGCAAAACTATGGGAACAGAGAAGAAAACAGTCACTCACAATAGCTTTCTTGATAGGCTCACTGAATCCTTTCTTCTTGTTGCAGTGGAAGTCCTTGAAAAGATCAATAGCAGTAGGTTGTACATCTTTATATTTCTCTTGTCTCTAAGTTATTTGCAAAGAAATATAAACAATTAGGCTGATACAAAAATCAATATATATCCATTACTGATCATTGATTGTTTAGTTTTTTACCATGACATGGACTTGTGCAATGTAACATTGAGATCCTGTACAATGCAGTAATTGGACCTTCTCTCGATTTATTTGGTTTTTCAAGCACCTTTCCTGTACATGAAACATTTGTTTAAGTGATTCTACACATAGGACAAATACAGAAGTGAAGTTACAGTAAAATAATAAACATAAGTTCAAAGCATGTCAACTAATAGATATGTCCTGCTTCTTAGAGGTTCCAGGAGAAAATCGCAAGAACCTAAGACCACAGAGCTAATGCTCCCTAAAATAGGAGCGGAGGGACAGCTGTGACCTCAAACTGAATGCAAAAGCGGCCACATGCGGATGTTACAACTACCTGATTAAAAATTTTCCTAGCATAGAAATTAGCTAAAGGTTCAGGTTTAGATAAGAAGATTTACAAAAACAGTAATAGATCAAGACAAGTGTCAGCTTACCATCTTAATTTCTATTTTACTGTATCTAAGTTCAGGTTCAGGAAATTTGAAGGTTTGTCGCACCTTGTGCTTCGGGTCTGACCACATTTGCACTAAGGCCTGCCATTCATTGTCAGTCATATGATTCACAGGCGATGTAGTCCTCACTTGACTTGCAGATATCCCATCAAAGTACTTTTTTTAGCTTGTGCCTCATCTGACGTTGTCCACACTTAAGCAAATCAGCACATGCATTTTGGACTGCTTCACTCTTGGTGTCAATGGTGAATTGGGCCTAGTAAAGAGCATGAAAATTAGAATCTGCGAATACAAAGGATAGATTGAACTTTCATGAAATCAGTAAAATTGAATTTAACTTACACCAATTTTTTCAATGTAGCTTGCAAGATGTGACTCATTTTTCTTGTACTCCTTCCGGTGTGTAAGGATTGGTATGTGCTGCCTAAGTGTGATCCCACCCTCTGATGCAAGCTTGGCAGCTTGGATAGGCGCCTCTGGCTGCCTGTTCCCTTCAGAAACATGGATTGACAACTTCATGCATAATCCTCTACTTAGCCTATCTAGTTCTCTACTTGCGCATCTTCCTCTTATCCTATCTGGATCTTTTCTTCACAGTCCTCACTCTCCTGATCACTCTCCTGATCTGTATACAACGATCCAGAAACTTCATGGTCTTCACCCTTTCTCTCCACAGATGTATTGTTCACTATGGGCACTAATGTCTTGATACCAAGCCTCTCCAGCTCTCGGTTGTTTTTCATTATTTCTTCATTCCTTGAACGCTCATATTTAGTAATAGGTGTCTCTGTAAAAATCATTTGAGAATAGTTAAAAGGTTGGAATTTAATGAGATTATATGCTTCTGTAAAACCCAAGAGCCTACATAAATGTTGCATGTTTAATTAACTTTTCATATTAGACACTGCAAGTTGTATAGCAAGGATGACTTGCTGCATGCACAAAAAGATGTTCTTACACGAGAAGTTTTGCAAGATTAAACATCCAACAAATATAAACCCAAAGAAGAATTTAGTTAACCTAGCTACCTAATCATTCATCTATTTAAAGGCTATTACATATATGTTGCTGCTGGACAGGCTCTAGAATCTTTGTTGCTGCTGCTGGATTACAGAGATAAGCTAACTGTATGCTGCTGCTGCTGGACAGACTCTAGCATCTTTGTTGGACATCATCTAGAAAGCCAAACTGTAATATATGCTGCTGCTTGCGGTTGCTGCTACAAAATTGCAGCAAACTTTGCACAAACTATGCTGCTGCTGCTGCAAACTATAGGTTCATTGTATTGATGGGACATTGTATATTATCAGGTTCATTGTATTAATCAGTCTAAGGAGATACTATACATTGTAATAAGTCATAGAAGGTATTAATCAGCTTAAGATTAACTACACAGCTAGAGTAAGAAATGAAACAACAAAAATAGTATCCTCAACAAAAATAGATTGATTTATCTAGGTCAAACTAAAGTCACTGCAAGAACAATGAAACTATTTGTTCAGCATATGAAGCAGTCAGGAACATGAACATGATTCAACACCCTCTTTGTCATTGCAAAAGTGACTGAGCATTGTCTGTCATTCTAGAAATCATTTCCAGGATATGCCTGTTTGCAGTTCTAAAATATTTTAGATGCCTGTATGCAGTTCTAAAAATATGCTCCCAGTAAAAAACATCTACATAAAATTCCTACAACTTTTGTATTCACCACAAAAATTACTTCGGTCCACTATTTTTAATCCAGGCTACAAAATATTCAGTCCGATCTGAGAGAGTCTACAACACAACTTTGAAATTCCATAACTTCTGAGATATCCAACCTCTGCATTACTGAAATCGTAGATAAAAAGAATGTCTACAGACCTCTAGTACTCTGGTTCACCTAACAAGCGACAAAAGTAGAAGGGAAAAACGAAATTGATCTACTCAGTTACCTACTAAACATGATCTCAGTCTATTCTTTTGTGGTGCCCAGACCCAAAGTAGAGGCTAAATGTGGGGAACAGAAGGGAAATTGACTTATTAATTTCGCATATTCATGAGTTTACCTGTTGGTTGCTGTCTGCTTGCTCCCACCTTCCGACCAGGTGCCATGGTGCTCTAACCTTGAGTTGGGGGAGGGGTCGCGGCTTCTGGAGGGGGGAACGAGGGGGGCGTAGCTTCTGACGGACGGCGCCTGCTGCGTGTGACTCGACGTGAAGAGGGCGGAGTGAGGAGCCGGGGCCCGGGGGAGCGGCGCGGAAGTCGCGAGTCGGGGAGTCGGCGTCCTAAGAGCCTGGGAGGCGACGCCTGCTGTGTTGGGTCCGGCAGAGTGAGGAGCAGCGATTTGGAATAAGGGGAAATAGCAAGCGCGAGACGTCGGTGGGAGAAGAAAGAGTGAGCGTGGAGGCGGCGGGAGAGAAAAAGATGGCGGCAGGTGAAAATTTTGGGGATAGTTTTCATCTGGAGAAAGAGGGAGCGTGCAGTGTCGGCGGGAGAAGAAGTGAGCATGGTGGCTTTCATCGGGAGAGAGAGGGAGCGCGCGGCGTCGGCGGGACCGCGGGAGAAGAAGCGAGCGTGGTGGCGGCGGATGGAATTTTGGGGATTCAGCAAGCTAGGGTTCGGTGAGACTGTCGTTGGGCCTAATGGGCTGGTTTTTTAGAATAGAAAAAATTGAGGATGGAAAAGAAAAAATGTTTTTGAAATTAGAAAATTTTGAGAATAAAAAAGAAAAAATATTGAAATGGAACCTCTAATTTGTGGCCTCGAATGTAGTTCTCTCAACCACACCACGCCAAAGTCATTTGAGATTGAGTAAATGATACTTTCCTTTAGTATTGATTTTTCTAGACATCGTTTATCCCATCGAGATATAGAACATTTGGTTTTGGTCATCTATCCATCTAAGGTAGTTTGGGCAATTAAAAAAATTGTAATTCAAAATATTATTGTAGTGCTATTGTAGTGGGTTTCACTCTTTCAGTATCTGAGTACCACCAGCAACTGCTTGAAGTAATACAATTTTAATTTCCTCAAATTGACTCTTATTTAATGTAGTAGAATATTCTTAGACTTAAGCTATCAACCAATCATGTCCTGAGAGGTTAAGCTCTGAAGTTTCTTAGAATTAATGATAGTAGAAAACCTGAGACTATTAACTACTGGGCCATCTCTACTTTGCAGCAGAATTTTGAGTGTTCGTTGATCCTCACAGACTCCATACATCTTCACAGTGTCAGATTGAGCTGGTTCCCCAAGATCTTATGCAATAAGGTTGGTATCTTCACCAAGGTGCTGGAAGCACTCTGCAGCTACAATGCACAGATCACCAGCCTGAGACTGTCTCCAACAACACAACACAAACACAAAATAGGTCGTTCACAGTGTTTTGGGTAAAAAAACATGCTCCAACAGATGACCCAAACAGAGGACGCATTTTGCGTTCAAGCCGAACCGAAACGCAAATAAGCGTCGAGAGAGAGACAATGCAAATCTCTGGAGCCGGGATCTCGAAGGTGCCACTCGTGGTGGGGACGGAGGCGGCTCACTCATGGCGCCTCCCTCCGGAAGAAGAAGAAGGCCAGCGTGGCACCATCGGTGGCCCTCCCTCTCCGCCTCCTCCTCCTCCCTCGCATCTCTCTCCCTCTCTCTGCCTTCCCTCCATTTCTCTCCCTTCCCCTCTCCCTTCCCTCCCAAAGCGGTGACGCGGTGACGGGCGCGACTGGCGGCGGCGCTGCTGCACTGCTCTGGGTTCGCCCCCTGCCCCCCTCCTTCCTCCCACCACCAGGGCGGCGGACCCCGTGGTGGCGCTTCTAGTGTTTCTTGAGAGAGATAAAAATCTGTGATTTTTGTGGTGTATTTGCAATGATTTGGTGTGGGAATGGAAGCCCAAATCCTCCTTTTCTCCTCCAGGATTTATCATTCTTGCTTGTGATTTTCGTTCTTCACTGTGCTCTATTTTTCGTTTCTGGGAAGGTTTTGCGTTCTTGGCTGTGATCTGAAATTAACGAAGTTTGAGTTGGGTTCGAGCCATGATTCTGCTGGGATAGCTCACCAACATCATGGAGATCACCTGTGCGAGATTTGGGGCCGAGTTGTTTTGATTTGACTCGGTTTTCGTCGATTCTCTTGGTCGTTCGTTTCCTTCCCCTTCTTCTGTTCATACGAGTCCATCTTGTTCGTGCTTTGAGCGTTCGTGGTTGGCGGCTGTGCTGCGAACCCAGCTCTGAGCTCTTGAGTGTCGTGCGCTCGTTCCCTTGCTGCTCTTCTGCACAACGCGGGGAAGACGAAGACAGAGGAGCAAGCGGCACCGGACGGAGGAAACTGGGAGTCTTATTTTTGGTTCGCTGTTGGAGAAGAAAGGTTCTGGGTGTGTGACCCTTTCCTGTACGTGACTCAAATCCTAGAACAGGTCTCGTGTTTGCGTTGACAGTCTAAACACGATAACGTTCTATGGCTATGACGAGAGCGTCTTCACCTTTTTTGTCGTCACTCAAGCTAGAGGACTTAAAGGACAAAGATTTAAATTGTTGTCTTGACTTTTTAAAAGAATGTGTTTGTCATACGCCTTATGGATGGCCCCCGCATCGGAACAAGGCCTCGGCTAAGGCCCCTATCGGGCCAAAACAGACCCGGCGTGAACAGTACCATCGGTACTGTAGCATACCGCCGCATATTGATTAAGATAGGAGTTTGGTTTGTTTAGGAAAGGATGATCCAATATATAAAGATATCTTCCATAGTTGCTTGGAAAGTTGACTATAAATATAGGAGAGATGAATCGATCCAATCTAAGCAATAGAAGAGCAATTGCCCCTTCCCCTACCTCTCCCCTCTCTCCATGCCAACTCCCTCCCTCTCCCTGCGCCATCCCCCTCTCCCATGCCTCCTAACCCTAGCCGCCACCCCCTCCTCCATAACCGAAGCCCCCTCCCTAGGAGGGCCCTTACACCTGGTATCCGGAGACCAGATCGATCCTTCGGGCAACACTCCAACCATGATCATGGAGAACCTCAGCACCAACATCCGCAACATGACCAATCAGTGGAAGAAGATATTTGATGACGAGTTCTTCACTCGCCTCAACAACGGGTATGCTCCGATCACCAACTTTGGGGCTCCCACCGCCGCCAACAGCAACAGCAGCCCACTACTGCCCTACGCAGCCGCGCCCTCGCTGCCCGCTGCACCCCGCAGCGGCCATGCATCTAACCACGCCGTCGCCAGCCATCCCTGCATCGACCATGCCACCAAGCTTGTGGATAAAGACGCCCACATGAACAACATCGAGCATCCACGCCCCAAGGTGGACGTCGAAAACGACATCCACAAGGTCCTCGATAATTGAAGAAGAAGTTTGATGAGTTCTTCGATTGCTGCAAAAATTCTCCTCCAATAGCAGACCCACCTCAATCGGAACTCACCACTCTGAAGATCGCGCACGAAGGAGGAGCACCAACAACAACAACGCCACCCTCCTTATAGCTTACTCAACTGATAGCAGATCCAAAACTGCCTTTGGGTGAAATATCCGCAGCGCCCATATCTACATCAGCACTGCTCACACCAAGGTCGCGTACAACACCAACATCAATCATGGCTACAGTCACCTTCGGCTACATCAACAACCTCTCGTATGCATCTTATCTGACAGATGACACCCAGCAGTGGTACATGCACCTCAAGCAGGACAACGTGGTGACAGATCGCCACATCAACGAGCGATTCGGCCCTCATACCTGCCGCAACCAATTGGCCGAGCTTGCGTCCCTACGCACGATCGGCACTGTCAACGACTACAAGGAGCACTTCCTGGTGCACGTGGCACGGTGAAGCCTTGGAGGGGTAGCAGCCAAACATGGAGCCCTTGCTTGGATGTATGATCGGCGAGCGGCGGAGATCGCCAACACCAACAAGTCAGCGGCATCAAAGCCATTCAACCAAGTGCTACCTCTGAAGGCACCACCCTCAACCCCACCAACACCAGCATCTATAGGCATGCCACCAGCTGCACCACCGCGCCCCTTCAAACGCCTCACCTCCAAGGAGACAACGGAACACCACCGAGCGGGCCTATGCTTCAACTATGACGAGCCCTTCACCCGTAGCCACAAGTGCAAGCATCTCTTCAACATTAGGGCCACCAACGACTACAACGTCGACGATGTCGACAACAGCCTCCTAATGATGTTAGGTACAACACAGCCCGCTGTTCACGGCTGCCACCCGATGTACCTTGTAGGAGCGATATTGGGCACCGGCGCCCACATACTGGGCACCACGCACGACGTCATCGACATCAACTTTGCTCATCTCATCGGCCTCCTCAAGTAGCGCATCAACAACACGATCCTCGTTGGTAGCGACAACAAAGTGTCATGCCAGGCGGCATCCTTCAGCGTCCCACTCCACATTGACGCGGAGACCTTCTAGAGCGACGCATTCCTCCTCGACATCGGCAACAATGTTGACATCATCCTTGGCACTCCTAGGTCAACACATCTTGGTCGTCTGATGTGGGACTTCATCGCCATGGAGCTGCAATACTACCGTGAAGGGGGCACCATCTCCTTCACCACCATCCTTCCTTGATGAACTCTGCAGACCGTCATCACCCTACCAGCGCCGCCGCCTATCACATTGGCACCACGGGAGCAGCCAGCACCACCACCAGCACCATCATCGCCACCTCACCACATCATGAATCGGGCAAGCCAGTTCCGTCTTACCAGCGCGCTCGACTACGTCATTACCATCGACACAGTCTTCGACCATCTTTGTTGCGCCATACTTCAACTGCAGGAACTATGCCACATTGCCCTCGCCATTGGCAATGACACTGTCGCTCCAGCATGGTCTATTGACCAAGGCCTGCTCTTCTTCAACTGGTGCTTCTACATCCCAGTGACTTTGCCACTGTTACCAGACCTGCTAAAGGCGCTCCTGCTCGGCAGACCATCACACATGAGGTACCTCGCGCTCGGCTACCACCCACCGACAGCGCCTCATCACAATGTCAGCCCCCTCGGGTATTCTGGTGGGCCGGGCACAGCCACAGGGCACGGTCTCCCACACTACTGAGATTTTCCTGGATGATTTGGGTTGCCAACTCCTTT